TTTTTTTTTTTTTGAATTTTAAAGTTTAGATTTTTGGTTTAGCCAAATCATAGCAAATTCTATATATCAGAGTTATAACAGTTATCAGTCGAGGCAAAAAAAAAAATGTTACTTGTTGACAGCTATTTAATATTGTAAAATTTAATAGATGCTAAAATATTTTATGCTTAATAATTGTTTTACATCTTTTGCTATTTTTAGCATCATCTTTCTGTTTAGTTTCCAGACAGTAAATAATTCTAAGACATAAATCACTAAACAAATTTGTCTGATAAAGTTTGGTTCTGTTTAGTTACATTGTTGACAGTTATGTCTACCGGTTTATAACAATTGATAAGCATTGTAGCTTAAAAGGTCAAATAAGTTGAAAAAATTGCTGATAAAAGTTATAAACTATTGTTTTAGGTTATTTGATAAATTAAAATATTTATTTTGCCAATAAAATAACTTCCTTTTTTGCAAATTTTAATACATATTTTTGTTTGTTTTTTGAGCAGAGTGGTCTTATCACAGATTTTTATAAGACATTTATTGAACTGTAGCTAAAAGAATAACAAACTAAATAGTGTTTTGCTGACACCAGTTGAACTAAAAATTATGGTTTTATATATGATTGAAACTGATAAAGAATATAGAAAAGATTGTGATAAACATTCAAAAGAATTACACTTTTACAAAGAAAGTTCAGTTTAGAATTGTGAGCATAAAATGCAAAAACTGATGTTCCGGTAAATAATTGAACAGAGTGAACCAACATCCACAAGCGATAAGTGATGATGACACTGAATAATTCTGAACTTTCTCAGCAACCATAATACAATTTTTTTACTACATTACAGAATTTATAAGTAATCAAAAACAAAAAAACCTGAAAAAAAGTTTTTATGTGTTATTTACAAATTTTTTTTCAGTTTTTATTCATTTATTTCTCTATTTTTTACTTTTTTTTTGCTAGTTTTAAATTGCTTCAGATGGTATTACATTTATGATTTTTTTTGATAATTGTTCAAAATGCTAACTGTTTTGTTACCACAACCTAATTTGATTTAACAACCTAAAAAATCAACGTAGAATAAATTAATTGAATTATGCATTCAATCACATTACAAATTTTCAAACGTAGTATAAATATTTTTTAAATTGTCATCTTGAAAATAAATTTAGTATTTATAGTTAGCCTTACCTTTATCAATCGTTTTTTTTTTACTGCTAAAATAACACAAGTGACGTTTAGAAAAAACAAAAAAAAACTTTAGCAGAATAGTGCCGTTGATCAGATTTATGAAAGTACGATGAACAAAAATTGTTGCTGCTTGTTGGTAGGATGGCTTTACCGTAGAGAACAGAAATTTCGTTTTATCAGTTTTAATACATGCAAATCAACTCTTCCGTTACTTTTGGCATAAAATTAGCATTATTATTATTCAATGTAATTCTGTATTACAAATACAAAATCTGCTTAAACGATAAAAAATTTTTCATTTTTTACTATTAGCCACTATTTACTACTTTAGAAAAACAAGTGAATATATCTTGATACTAATTACATATATCAAAATTAATAAGGTATTTTTGAAAAATTTAGACAAAAAAATTTAACTGTCAGCTAGATTATCTAATACTAAATGTTGCCCAAAAGTGCTTTTAAGTTTATGTCATTGTTATAAAGTTTTTCCTCCTAATTTTAACCAAAATTACATGTAATTTAGCATGATTTGAAGCATTAAGGTTGTCAATTAAGATTTTTTTGAGAACTCTTTTATTATTTTTTATTTTTCTAAACTTTGTAAGCCGTTTATTGAGTGCTTAAGTCGCTGGTAAAATAATAATCAGTAACAATTTATTTATACTAAACACTAAACTTAAGTTATTTTGATATCCTGAGACACCGTAAATTACCATAGTGAATAACAAAGGAGAACTGTCAAACAAAAAATTACAGAACACTGAGTGAATAAAAGCAGAGGAGATTAGAACGACCTGTCACTGTCTTTTTTTTTTTTACTCTGTTTAAGAAACTATTGCAGCTAATTGTAATCACACTGTTGGACAACACACAGCAGGTAAAACTACGTAATATCCATTCAGTTTTTTGACTGTTCAGTTTGCGGTAGTAATTATTATCCTTCAATGAAGCCAAACTGTTTTCTTCGCAGTATTTCACGTATCGTTCTTTATCATTTGGATAATTTTCTGCAATTCCTACTGTAGCTATTGGCTCATACGCTCCCGAAAAAAGGCACATTAAGAAGGGAGAACTTTGTTCTGTCGATTTCTTTAACTTTAAATACAGTTGTTTCAATAAAAAAAATTTAACTGTTTCAAAAAAAATGTGTAAGTTCTAATTATACTTTAGCAATTTAAAAAGAATTCTGGTTTCGACTGGTGAATTTAAACTAAATTTTACTGAAACAAATGCAGTTTTCAAAAGTGCTTTAATGACTGACAAAATATTTAACGTTTGCTGTCTTAAAAGTCTGAGTGTCAAAAGATAAACCTGTAAAATAAAGAATTTTTCAGGTGAACCATAATACTTTTGAAGTTCGTCATAATAATACTGAAGCAAGTCGTCAAAGTGTTGCCGACGATCTGTGCACTAAGAGCAGACGCACAGTAACAAAGCAAGTCATCTCCTACACAGGCTCTGTGAATTCTCGAAAGATAGACTAGCAGATTTGAGAAGTATGCTAAAAACCTATTGATAAAACAATAAATTAAAATTTGTGAAAACCAAATCTGAAATAATCTTCATTTGAAATTATTCTTTACAACATTTACTTTTGCTGTATGTCCAGCATTTAAACCGTAACAGTTCTAATCAAATTGTGAGCTGGGTACGTGAAAAGCAGCAGAGGTAGGAAAGCTTCACGATATTGAAAAAGGCAACTTATTTAAAGCTATTTACCATAAAAAATTTGTAGAAATGACTAAA